GTTATATATTTATACATTTATTTCCAATAATGATAGTTTCTGTCCTCCATAGTATGAAGGACAGAAGCTAAGCGCTGTCTGTGTGTTTAGTTCTCACAAAGATAGCAAGGCATGTATGTGTGTGTGATGTGACGCACGATGAAAACTGTCTGATGCGTCAGCTTTGAGCTACTCTTATCCTTTCAAGGAAAACACAACAGGTGAAGCTACAGCTTGTTACCTTATCAATAATTACTCTGATACAGCAAGAATCACCAACACAGACCCGGTGTGACCGAGAGTCAGCAGTGCAGCTACGAGCTAATGTAGCTAATGTAGCTAATGTAACGTCCCTCAACTTTAAAAACAGTATCCAGAGTAGTTTTTGAACTGAAAACACCATAAATGCAGGTAAAATGATCTGCTGTTAGTCCACAGGCTGAACACATCCCTCCTCCCTCTCTGTCACACACCATCCAGCTGCAGCAGACAGAGATGATTTCAGGAGCATTAACCCTTTAGGGCCCAGATTTAAAACGTGGTAAATAAATTATTTTCAGTTATTTAAAGGAAGTTTTTTTTTTTTGATAATTGCATTTTTTTTTACTGCTTTATTTTTTTATCTACAAGAGTTGAGAGTTCTTCTGAAGTGTTACAAATGTAGAAACAGGACATGATTTGAGGCTTTTTACTGATATTTTCTTTTAAACATGTTACCCCTAATTTACATTACATGTGTTACAGCTCTGCTCTGCTCCGCAGCGCAGGTCACAGCTGTGTGTTTCAAGTCCAGTTTACACCACCTCCGCTCCGCTCCGACAGACGTACAGGAAGCAGATCGAGTGATAAATTCAGTGATAAATTCAGTGATAAATTCAGTGATAAATTCAGTGATAAGTGTGGAAGTTACAGCAAAAAATAATTAATTCTGTGAAAGACGAACTCCAAACACAYCTGAAAACAWRGATATAAAGGCTTRTGYTKTCTATGTTGAAACTGTCMCYCTGTCGMCTTTCTGAAACTTCTGATTTCAAAATAAAATCCACGTGTATCGTGTGTGTGCACATATGCTTCATGTTTCCATCTGCTTCCCAAACAGAACCATATATTCTGACAACATTTGTGTAGAAATATATCCGTATATTTATTAATATAGCTGGGATTTTAATATTATTCCGACAAATTATCCAGCCTAAAAGTGTCTTATTTTGAAAATACGGATGTTGTGCTCGTTTCTTTTCCTGTTGGTGTGACGTAATCTTTAAAAATTGACTCCGGTGACGTCTGGCAAAAATAGGATCTGTTCTAATTTCACGGATCGCTGTGCGCTCACCACCGCCAGTGTAAACACTCTCATTGGTTATTATGGGTGTGTGTTTGCTGCGGAGGTCGGACCACATGTAGTGTAAATTAGGGGTCAGAATTAATAAGAAGCAGGTTCATTTTGAACGAACATAAATGTGTTCAGTCCTACAAAACTGACAAATATATTTATAAAATACACTAAACTGATTCAGATTAACATAAAATAAATCATGTTTTATAATTACATAACTGTCAACCGCCCCCCCACAAAATTTTTTTAAATAAAAATAAATAAATAAATAGGCCGGCCCACCAGCACAACAGTAAAAACTAAATCCTAGGGGAAACCCTGGACTAGTTTATGTAGCAGAAAGAAAAATATGCGGTGTAGTTTGTTGGACGTACCTGAGCTGCTGCTGCTGGACAATGAGCCCAGTGAGTCATCATCTGATTCGCTGGAGGATTCTGTGGAGGAGGAGTCTGATGAAGAAGAGGACGACGATGAGGAGGAGGAGGAGGAGGAGGAGTCAGACGAGTCGACTTCCTGATTCTGAGTCATGATCATTTTTGGTGCGTTCTTCAAGTGCTCCCTCAACTCATCTCTGAAGAATAAAACACAAATTAAAACAGCAGCACAGAGTCTGTTAGATGCTAACACAATACACACAACACACACAACACACACAATACAATGTTGTGACAGAGCAAAAACAAGTTTAGGAGATTTCACAAGCAAACAGTTCTATTTATTTTATAACAGAAATGAACCAAATGGTCGAAACCTGTCAGTTTACACCTTGATGAGCTCAAATCAGTGATTCTAAAACTTATAAAAAATTTGCTCTTTAAATGATCAATACTGACATACACAACATTTTTAGGACACACCATCTGGTGGCTTTTAGAACAGCCAATAACGACTTTTCCTACTGAAGAGTTGGCAACAGTGCACAATGACAGTGTTGGAAGATTTTTTCAGAATGTAGGTTTTAAGACAGCAGATAATCTGATATCAATACTGGTTCAAAACCCAAACTGATGCATCTCTAATAAAAGATATGACTGTTGGGAGTGTGCCACTCACGTCAGGCCTCCAAGTCCAATTGAGGTGAAGAAATTGATGGCAAAGCGAGTGTTTCTTGGATTATCACGAGGAAAAAGACCTTCAAAGAACGACTGCAGAGTTCTGTCAATCAAACACACAAAAACAGATTAGGGACTAATACGCTATGTTGAATCAAACACATATTTTATAAAAATTTACGTTTGCCTTTCTGTTTTTTCTGCACATATAGGTCATAATATCTAAAGACTATTCTGCACCAGAGTGACTCCTCAAGTTGGGGTCACTGTGGGTCATGAAACTTGGATCTGAGGGTCCCAAGGTAATCATCAGACATTAACCTACATTTACAAATTAATCTCTGTGGCATATTCTCAAAACAAATGTTGCAAAAAACAGTCAGTCGAACAGGGTTTCTGCAGAAATCAGCCAATCAAACGGATTGCTTTTGAATGCAATTTTTAAAATTTCTAATGCCTTCAACACTGAATGCATAAAATTCACAAGTTTATTATGTGCCATTTTAATATTCTTTACATGCCATTAATGAATGCAACTATTACACAACTTTTTGTTTTGTTTTATAGACGATCAGGCCGTGTGCCTGAAGGTCCTGTTACACCACACCCACATGAAACATCCAGGCAYAAAGGATGAGGAGTTAGTGCTTCCTGTTTGCAGTTAAAAGTGAGGAAACTTTTGTTATTATTTCATAAACCTGTCCGCTCATCATATTTGTCATAACCTGTAATCACCTCACACCGTTATATAAATGATACACAACAGTGGGGGTGTAGGAAAATATCAATAAACTGAAATACTTCAAGTGCCTCTCTTGTAAAGTCTAATTAAAGGAAGATGAGAACAAGAAAGTTCCAGTCACAGCTCATGAAACAGTCAGGAAGGCTGACTGAGAACATTTGTATAGTCCGTCCGTTTTCTTCCTCTTATCCAGGGTCAGGTCTCGGGGCAGCAGCCTCAGCAGAGACCCAGACTTCCCTCTCTCCAGACACTTGGACCAGCTCCTCTGGGGGAATCCCAAGGTGTTCCCAGTCCAGCTCCAGTGTGTCCTGGGTCTTCCTCTGGGTCTCCTCCCAGTGGGACGTGTCCAGAACACCTCACCAGGGAGGAGT